CGGGGGGCCTTGATGCTGCCTCTGCCCCGAAACCCTCCTCCTGTGGGGTATTCTTCCGGCTCTCATGTGAGTCTTTCTTGACAGTTTTCAAAAGGAGTCTTGTGTTTCCCAGGCTCTAGCCTGTGACTGCCTCTGCTGTTCCTTTCCACAGTTTCTCTTGGTGTGTCCCAACACCGTAACTTCCAATGCCACTGTGTCTATAGCCCAGTCACATCTCTTTCCATGTTCCACAGGCAGAACCCATTTTCTGTCTTTCTTACATTCGGGTTTTTTCCTGTATCCTTCTAACAGCTCATCTAAGCCAGGAATCTGGGAGCCTTCATTACTTCCCTTAGCTGACATCCAAGTGCCTGTCACCGTCAGCCCCCATGCTGGCCACTGCAGATGTCGTGTGTGTGTGTGTGTGTGTGTGTGTGTGTGTGTGAATGTACAGGGTCTGTCTCACTGGCTCCCTGTAGGAGTGATGTGGATTAGTCCCAGGAAGGTGAACACCAGGGTCCTGATGATTGGCAGGACCTCCCTGGGGAAGGGCATTAGAACTAAGAGCTAAAGGATGATTAGATGCTCATCAGGCAAACTGGGGGTGGAGGTGGGGGGCATGCTAGGCAGAGGGATGAGCATGCTTGAAGGCTCTGTGGTAAGGAGAAAACTGCTTAAGAAATAAGCAGGAAGGCAAAGGAGGAGGCAGGACCTGGTGCCAGATGAGGCCAGGCTAGGCAGCGCACATCAGAGAGAGCCATGTTAGCTGGCACCACGGTGCATTCTTACACTCCCTTCTACCAAAGTCTATCTTGAACCCCTCTCCCCATAATTCATTTCCACCTGTAAGGATGTATTTTTTTCACTCATCACTAACATGGGTTAAGATGGATTAAGATGATCCTGTGGATCAACTCCTCTCCTGGTCTCTCATTGTCAGGATGGAGTCAAACCCAGAGGCCTGTCTTGTTAGCTCCTTCAACGCCCCCGCCCCCCCAGTTCTTTGCTGCAACTTCTAGTACCCCTGAGGTGCTTGGTGGATGTGCTCTGGAGCCCCAGGTGAAGTCTTGCTCATCTCTTGCTCTTCTGTTGAGCGGTTCTTACTCTGTGAAGCCATCTCCCCCAGCTCAAGCCACCTGCTGCCCCTCTCAGATACCCTTCTCAGCCATGCCTGCCTGCTCACACAGCCAGCCACACTCTGTCTCTCCTTCCTAGGCACATACCTTTTGCTAGACCGAGAACTATTTGGAGAGGGATCTGGCTGCCTTTGTCTTCATCCTTTTTGGTGCCACCGGGATAGCATATATTAGCATTTAACAAAGACATTGTTGGATTGAGGGTCTAGTGATGAAGGAAATACACAGTTCAAATGAGCCATAAAGAGCCAGGTGGCGGTGGTGCACGCCTTTAATCCCAGCATTTGGGAGGCAGAGGCAGGTGGATCTCTGTGAGTTTGAGGCCAGCCTGGGCTACAGAGTGAGTTCCAGGAAAGGCGCAAAGCTACATAGAGAAACCCTGTCTTGAAAAACCAAAACCAAAACCAACAACAAAACAACAAAAAACCAACCAACCAACCAACCAACCAACCAACCAACCAACCAACCAAAGAGCCATAAAGAATGAGGTTCCATCCTGAGGCACTTTATGAAGGAGTCTTGCTTCCAGGACACCTCCCTGAACTCCCTGGATCTAGAATTTGTAGTGACCAATCACATACCTCAAGGTGGACTCCACCCTACACCCCGCACACTAGAAGGGTAGGTAGACCACATTGGTTAGAGTCAGGCCTACATCTTCTCAAGCTTCAGTGAGTTCCAGGATAATCCAGGTTCCCTAGTTTGCTAAACAGATGGCTGGGTACCCCCCTGATAGCTTGATTCAGCGGGTAGGGCGGCACCTGAGAATTTGCCTCTGTAACAAGTTCCCAGGTGATACTGGCGGTGCTGGTCTGGGAACCACATGTTGAAAATCTGTGTTCTAGCAGAAGAATTTGTTCTCCAAAGTATCACTCTCTCCAGTGGTGGTGGTGGTGGGGATGGATGGTCTGCTTGGGTTTAGCTTTGTAGGTTTTAAGAGCCATTAGTATGAGATTAGTGTGGATAGATACAGGCTTGCCTCCACGCCTGACTCTTGTCTCTCCCACGAGTGCTTCTATGTCCATTCGTCAGCCACTTGACAAACATGTTTTGGAGAACGTGCATGGCGGCAGATGAGGAGGAGCAGTGGCTATCAGATAAGTCGATAGGGAACCACCCTGGAGGGAAGACTGCAGGTGTAGACAGGATCATAATTCAAGAAGTCCAGGGGAGGAGCAACTGCTTTGAAGGGCAGTAAGTTCCCATCCCTGGGGCCGCTGAGCAGGCTTCTAGAGTATTAGTGGGAATAATATTAGTGGGTGGTTAGTCTAAGTAACTCTTAATAAGAAAAAAAGCAGTTGACCCTGCAATCCGTAAATGGCCCACTTGGGATCATGGGTGGATCTGCAGAGGGTCTGGGCTGCCTTGTGCAAACACTAAGAGCAGCTCTGCTTTGAATAGACATGCATTCCTCAACAACAGTGTGCTTGGTGACTAAGTGGATTCATGTCCAATGACCCTGTAATTTGTTGTTTATTGACCTCAGATCATTTAAAAGGTTAAATGGAAAAGCCACAAGCAGGCAAAGTGTACCTCAGGGGCCTCTTTATGTCCTGTTTCCTAAGTCACATGGAACTGAGATGCAAGGTACCATTTTAGTTTGTTTTACAAGAGAGAGAGGGAGGGAGGGAGAGAGAGAGGAGAGGGCTTGTATATATAGTTATTAGGTCATCAGCTTGAATTTCAAACACTCATCAAGGAAGTCCAACCAATTGCCAGGTTCCACAGTGTGGTACAAGGTTTCAGAGTTTCTCGTTGGGAGTCCAACCCTTAAAATGTGATGAACAAGACTGGTTCTCTTGTCCATTACCTACCATTTATTGAACATCTATTATGTTAGACTGGGTGAGATTCTTTACAAATACTACTTATGATATTTCAATTAACCTCCAAAGTAAGTATTATTATCTTCATTTCCAGAGAAAAGGCACAGAGAGATTATGTGTCTTGTCCAATTTCACATAGCAAAACTTGCCCATTCATTTTTTGAAGTTGACATAACTATAAAATTGGACCCTAATAAAGATAGTTCAAAAATTATAACTCCATGAGTCTGAGTTCAGATACAATATTATCAAGTTGAATCCAGCATTATATCAAATGGACCAAATGCAGCGTGTTCTAGGAATGCAAGAATAGTTCGATAATAGGAAATATTAGGAAACCAACCTAATTCACCATATCCACAAACCAAAGAAAAGCCATGTATTAGAGATGCTTAAAGGGCAGTAGACAAAACTCTCCTATAATAAGACTCTAAGACAGGAATATTAGGAACTGCTTAGATTTAATAAAGTTAAAATGTAGCTATAACGTCATTCAAAACAGTGAAACCCAACATCTAACTTCATAAAAATAGGAGAGGCCCAATTCTGCCATTTAAAGCTATCATCCTGGCTATTACTCAAAATGAATTTTGCTACTTAGAAGTAGTTTACTTAAATAAGGAAGAGGAGATGTTGCTATCTATTTTTGCTAAGCCCAGGAGAATCTGATAGGAAAAGACAAGCTGCGAGAAGTCCATTTGGCAGTACCTAACTGTTTTTCTCCATAGAGTGAAGGTTACAGTCACTGAATTTGGACACCTGGAACTGGGATTTGAACCCAGGTCTGAGGCTTAAGTCTTGCTCTTCCTCCCTATGAAACATTTATGCTCTCTGTTGCTAGTGATCTGGGAGAAGAGAGAGTCCCTCAGAATCGGCCCATCCCCCAATGCTCCAGCAGAGTCCTCTCTGGCTTGGCCTGCTGGGAGGGAGAGGAAGATGAGCATTTGGGAGGGAGAGGAAGATGAGCATTTGGGAGGGAGAGGAAGATGAGCATCTGGGAGGGAGAGGAAGATGAGCTGCTGGGAGGGAGAGGAGGATGAGTATTTGGGAGGGTCATAATTTCACTGTGAAGACCCTGAAGCCTCTGTTCTTAGCAACCCCATCCCTCAAGCCTGAGGTCTGGGCTGAGTGTGGGGAGGCATGGCTGGTGGTCTGGCCTGAGGTCACTTTTGCTCTCTAAATGCTGGGCATCCAGTGTACCGAGTCACCCCCTTTATTCTTGCCTCCAAGAAGCCATATTAGTGTTACTAGTTGCCTTTTGTCTCAAGCTGTCTCATTTGAAGCAAGTCTGGGGTGCCAGAGGCTAATTGGAGCATTGAGGTCACAAGCCTCAGTCTCATTGTGTTTGTGGTGAGAGTAGAGCGCATTCTCCCCGCATAAATCATAGGGTGATACACGGAAAATCTGCCATGTTGTACAGAATGAACCGCAGGGTAGCAGATGGGGCACTGCAGAGGAAGCCAGGAGACCTGGGTTCTGGTGGCTCTTCCACTGATGTGCTCCATGTTCGTCACGGTGCTGCCGAGCCTCATTTACCTCATTGGTGACATAAGACTGGATAGGCTTCCGGTGTTAGCTGAATGCAAAATTATGATGATAACCCTCCTTTCCATGTGCACAGTACCATTTGAAGTGCCTTGTTAAGGCTGGGAGTATGGCTCAGTGATGGAGCACTTGCCTAGCATACCCAGTGCCGTAACAAACACAGTCAAACAGTGCTTGCCTAAGTACCCTGTGCTGTGTATGGTTAGTGAGGTGGTACTGCTATCATTCCCATTTTGTCTCTAAAGCAACGGAGGCACAGGGTAGTTCACTGACTTGCCCAGGGTCTCGCAGGCAGGATGGCAGAGCTCACACAACCCTTAGCCTCTGTGCTCTTATACCTCTTGTGTGTGCGTGAGCCGTGTGGTTACAGTGGTGTGGGTCTGAGGGTAGGGAGGTACTTTTAAGGGGAAGCCTGGCGCTGGTGTGGCTAGCTGGGGACGGTTGCCCTGAAGGGTAAGAGCGACCACACAAGTTGCTGACGTTGCCCATCATTTCTTCTCTTTTTCCTCTCCAGTCTGTGGCAAACGCTACAAGAATCGGCCGGGACTCAGCTACCACTATGCTCACACTCATTTGGCCAGCGAGGAGGGGGATGAAGCCCAAGACCAGGACCCCCGGTCCCCGCCCAACCACCGAAATGAGAACCACAGACGTGAGTCCTTGCTTGTAAGGTCGGGGAGCGAGGGCTGGGGCAGGGAGTGTGGGGAACGATCTTTTTCTTTCCACTCTGGTGTCTCCTGGCAGTAACAACGGATGGGGTTTGGTGTTCTGCAGTACGTTGAGCCCTAAGCCCAGCCAGCCACCACCTATGGCTGAGCTGAGCACCCAGCTAAGAAGAAGCAGGTCAGAGAGGAGAGAGAGATGACTCAGCGGTTAAGAGCACTGACCGATGTTCCAGAGGTCCTGGGTTCAATTCCCAGGCTGTCTGGTATCCAATCACACCAGGATAAAAATGAAAAAAAAAAAAAAAAAGAATAAGAATAAGAACAAGCAGGTCAGAACTCATGTGATCAGCCTTGTCTCCAGACAGAGGTGGGGTGTAAGTGCCCAGCAGAAGGGGCGTGTCCTCACCTGGCCACTGTTACAGGCCAGACCTGTCCATCTTTTCCCTTGGCGTCAGAAGAGCTGCTCACAGCTGTGGGGAGTGACTGATGCTTGCTGGTTGATTGCTGTGGTTTCCCTGTGTGGGTCACTACTTAGGGTATCCATCCTGCCATCTGGATGGATACATCACTTGGGGTGGCAGTTGGCTACGAAGACTGACAGTGATTCTGCAGATTGGTGCGTCTAGTCCTTCTCTCCTCCTTCAACTTGCCGTTATGAATTAGGAATCAAAAGGGGGCTAGGCGTTCACCACTCGACTGGCGCTCTCCCATCCATTATGGTTTCTGGGATGACCACAACCCCCGAACAGGATGTGGTCATGGAATCTGTTGAGCTTGCTTCAAGGTCTGGGTCATACTGAGATCACTGGAGGAAGGGGTGTCTGTGGACATATGATGTGGGTTTTTGCTTTGTTTATACAATTTGTTGGTATATATTTTTAAAACCTTTTTTCATTTGGATTCAGTTTATTATTTCATGTGTGTGAACATTTTGTCTGCATGTATGTATGTACACCACATGCATGTGCAGTGCCTGCTGAGGTCAGAAAACTGCGTTGGATCCCTGGGACTGAAGCAATAGGTGGTCGTGAGCTGCCATATGAGTGCTGGGAATTGAACCTGGGTCCTGTGGAAGGGCAGCAAGTGCTCTTGACCACTGAGCTAACTCTCCAGCCCTGGTATATATTCTTAAAGTGAACAAAGAATCCGACTTTTTAAAAGTCCCTGGATTCTAAATTTAAAGGCGACTCCTATGTGGTTGAGTATCTCAGCTTATCTGACTGATGCCAGATGGGCACTTCCACCAAATATCTGAAATCATGAACACACCCCCAGCCAAGACCTGTGCTTAGATTTGTGTGTGGTTCTTCCTGGCCTGAGCCCCAGGTTCACTGGTCATGCTGCCTTCTCTATCAGTGTGCTGTGGCTGACACAACAAAATACCTCGGACCAGGAGTTTTAAACTACAGCAATTAGTTTCCCATGGCTCTGGGGGCCTGAGAAGCCAAGGTCAAGGCATTGTCAGTGTTGGCCTCCAGATACCCTTCGCTTTGGCTTGCAGATGGCTGCCCTCTGTCAGCTCTGGCCTTTTCTCTCTGGGCACATGTTCTAGGGTCTCGTTTTGTGTCCACATGACCTCTTCTTATAAGGTCACTGGGCAGACTGTATCAGGACCCACCCTAATAGCTGCATTGTGTATGTATGTGTGTGTGTGTGTGTGTGTGTGTGTGTGTGTGTCTGTCTGTCTGTCTGTCTGTCACACTTGCATGTATTCTCAGTTGGTTTTCACCTTACATTTGAGACCGAATCTCTCACTGAACATGAAATTCACTGATTTGGCAAGACTGGCTGTGGAGACCTCCAGAGGTCGCTTGTCTCTGTCTCCCCAGCTCTGGGATTGTAGACGTGTACAGCTATTTCCATCTTTTTGCATGGGTTCTGGGGGCGAGGGTCTAAATGCAGGTCTTCACGTCTTCATGACAACCACTTTACCAACTGAACTATCTCCCCAGCTCCAATGGCCTCCTTTAACAAACTTTACCCTCTTCATTATTTTCTTCTTCTTCTCCTCCTCCTCCTCCTCCTTTGGATTTATTTTCACTTTAAATCATGTATATAGGTGTGTCTGTGTATGTGCACATGAGTGCAGTGCCTGTAGAGGCCAGAAGAGGGCATCAGATCCCTGAAGCTGGAGTTACAGGTGGTTGTGAGCCACCCCATGTAAGGTCTGGAAACTGAGCAAGAACAGTGAGCCATCTCTTCAGCACTTTGATTACTTCTTTATCTATCTCTATCTTCAATAGAGCCAAATGCCAAAGCACTAGAGGTTAAGTTTCAATACAGGAATCTGGAGTTGGGGGAATGCATCCTGTGACATTAATTTGCTTCCAACTTTGAGGGTTCAAGCTTTTAATGTGACAGACCCTTGTTTTCTCACCTCCTATTGCCATCTGGGCAGAATCTGAGAAGCAGGGCTAGAGGAGGAGGGTGGCTTCACTCTTTCTGCACCAGATACTGAGTATCTATGACACCCGGCTCTCTGTCTGCCCTTTGGGAGAGCTCTCCTTTTCTGTCAGGGAGGAAGATCTGTCTGTACTGAGGAGCTGACAATGCCAAGCCCCTCCCTCTTCTCTTTCCTTTCTCTGGTCTGAGTGTCTATGAAGTCACAAGGAGCTGTTGCTACTGACCAGGAAGAGGCTGGGGATGATCTTTGGTTTTAGGTGTTGTCTGGGAAGCACAGATTAGTGATTCCTTCTCTCTCTTAAGTCTCTGTTAGCATTCTTTCTCACTCCTCCCGTGCTAGCCTACCTCTTGCGTTTCCTCAACGCCTGGCCATTTGCTCCTGTGTACAGGCATCCAATTTTACAGTGTTTTGATGGCTTTTCCTTTGTGTTGTGTTTTTCCTACCTCTCCTATAGTGTCCATAGTGAGTGGTGGTTTTGCACACATGTGCATATACATGTGTGTATATGTGCAAAGTCTTGGCAACAACAGTGGGAGGAGACAGTCTCTTCCCCAGCCATTCCTGAGGTCCCCTCCAAGTAGACTTCTGTGACCAGCACTGGCATTCTTTGCTTTATCTACCAGGACCTCAAATGTGAAATTATCAGCAGGCATGCGCCCTCCTTAGGTGTTGTCCCTGAAAGATCACATGGGTTTGCTTAGTAAAGAAGCTGTGCCTTTCCTTTTTCTACACAGAGACATGGCCCATGCTTGTCTCCATCATCTGTGGGCTTGTGAGTGAGCAACATGCTCCAGTTCCTCCCCTTCATCTATCCCTCCTTTCTCACTCTGCTGATGGGACACTGGCTTCTTCACAAAGCACCATTTGACTGACCAGAAAGGGATAGCCATTTGTGGGCTAATCTAGGTCCGCCTTATACAAAGACAGTTCCAGAAACACCCCTATTTTAATTAATTTTCTTTTTGTGGTGTCTTCTCACAACTTCGTCTCTGCAAACTCCGTGCCCAGCCCGAATTTCACCCGCAGGGAAGTGGGTACAGCAGACAAGCTCTTGGTGTCTGGAGAAGCCATTTTCCTCTAGCTCCAGTTTCTCCAGACAAACCCAGTGGCAGCTGCTCGCCCTGGCTTCTGTGGGCCACACACACTACCGATTTGCTTGCTGCTCCGAATGTGCGCTCTACTTCCTCCCACATGCCCCTGGTGAGCAGGCCCCCGCCATTTTCCTGTGAGCACTAATTGCTGGCATCATTAATACCCAGTCATTAGCTGCTCTCACTGTTTGGGGCTTGGAGTGGGCTCCCATCCACACTGCCCCTAAATGCCACCGGGGCTGCGTGGTGAACTAAAAGTGACAGCTCAGCAGCATCCTGAGGGCTCAGCTCCGTGGTCCTCCCCCAGCCAGGCTTCCAGATCGAGGGAGGGAGGGAGGCGGGAGAGCTTAATCCGGGAGGCTAATCTGTGGCTCCCCCAGGAGAAAGTCTGGATGCTGGCAAGTGGAAATGCTGACATTCCCTTTAGTGGAGTTACACGGTGACCCAGGCGGCTGCCATAGAAAGAGTCCCATATCTACAGGAGTATGCAGGGCCCAGGCAACTGGCTCACACCACCCGCAGCCACTGAGACCTTTTGACTCTGGTGCTCCTGCTGTCCCTTGCTCCATTGCCTTCAACTGCGTCCTTAGCAGAGCCCATGGCTCGTCCCCATACCTGCCACTTTTTAACTGAAAGGGTGGAGTGGCCAGCTGGAGTCAGCACTGACCTTCCCTTCCCCGAGCCCTTGCTGCCCTGAGTGGCCAGCTCAGCACTCGACTGCCACCCTGCTGTCCTCCTGTCCCTCCCAGGGGATGCATTCCCGCCTTTGTTCCTATCCCACTCTCTCATTTTCTCCCGAGTGTTCATGTCTGTGTTTCTTCCCTATAGGTTGGCCTCTTTTGCTCTGTGTTTGAGGCTCTCTACCTTGATGACAGATGAGTGACTAGAATGCTTGGCACTTAGACCTCCCGTCTGGGGAGAGATGACCTTTCTGAGGGGATCTTCCTCTGCTGGGCTGCTGGGTCTTCTTTTTCCCTCAGATTCTCTGACTGCCTTCATCTCTATGTAGTTATGCCTGCGTGGAGCTGTGGGTATACATGAATACAAGGAGGGGTGGTTTGATCAGGACTCTGAGTGTGAGTGGCATTCAGTTGCTCTCTGTTGTGACTCTTTTAGAGAAACTTTGGTTAGCAAGATTAACATTCTCAATGACCCAGGCCCACAATTTCAAAAATCTTTTTAAGTTCCTTTTGCTTTCTCTGCACAACTGGAATCTACTAAAGATGTTGTTTTCGGGATACTTTTTGGGGTAGGGCTGAGATCAAAGTCTTGGATTTAAATAGAAAAATGATGTAAATAAATTTGTGCTGTCCATTCATTCATTTATTGAATCCATCCATCAGTGCAACTAGCCATCCAACCAACCGTCCATCCATGTATCTATCCACCCACCCACCTATCCACCCATCCATCCATCATCCATCTACCCACTCACCCACCCATCCACACATCCATGCATGCATCCATCCATGCATCTGTCTAGTTATCTACC